AATTTTACTAAAAAAAAAGTTATTAGCAAATGAGCAGTTTGTGACCAAAACTGTGTATGCCAAGCATGCTGGTAACCATGCTTGGCATGCACAGTTGTACACACTAACTGCTCATTTGGTAATAACTTTTCACTCAGATGTTGAAATTTATTTTTCTTTAAAGTAATTGATAGATTAGGCTCATAGTTTACTATAGATATGCGAAGATTAGGTAAAGCTTAACATTTGAATCAACACTAATCAATTTAACACTTAAATTCCGAGATGTGTAGTGACCATTTCTCACCTCATTTTTACAACGCAAGAACAAATACAGTTTACTACTAGCATCAAAATCTACTTTTTTTACATATATATAACAAGCTTACACTCTATTCTATCTACTGCTTCAAAAAGAACTATGTTCCGGCAACTGTGTGCAGATTTATTAGCAAATGAGTAGTTCGTGACCAAAACTGTGTATGCCAAGCATGCTGGTGACCGCCGAAAATGATACCAGCAGAGAAATTTAAAGACGCATTATGCCTACTTTGGACTCCGGAGGACGCACCGGTCGAATAAAATTCTCCGTCGCATGAAGTTGATTATCTACAAGACGCTGATTAGACTGGTGGTCCTCTACGGCCACAAGACCTAGACTATGCTCGAGGAGGACCAACCTCGTGTTGCGTACCAACGGAACGTGTTGCGTACCATCTACGGTGGAGTGCAGATGGATGACGGAACGTCGAGAAGGCGAATGAACCACGAATTACACCGTTACAGCTGTTGGGAGAACCATCACATTGCAAAAAATGGGCGACCATGGTGAGCTGGGCACATCGTAAGAATGCCGCACGACGACCCAGTGAAAATGGTTCTCGAAAGCGACCCATTAGGAATAAGAAGAAGAGGCGTGCAGTGGGCAAGGTGGATCAGCTTTCAGCTTGACAGCTCAGCCCAACTAACGAAGCCTTTCACTAAGTGGGCTACGGGTTTAGTCCAACGAGCGAAAGTTGACTGTAATTGAACGAGAACCAGCTGCAACGGCAACTGCTCTCATACTTATCTAGATAGAAAACCACTACGAGGCTCGAGAAGAAATAATTCTTCTACGGCACACAGCACAATTTCACACTTAATTGTCAATTAATTATCACAACAATACGCAATAAATAAGCATTACCTCGGTTGATCGGAAGAGTGCTCGGTAGAATTTAAAATAAAAAATTAGTCGAAATTCCCCAAAAAGTTCCTTGTCTGGTAAGCAATCTCCAGTTGGGGCTGAAAAGTGAAACTTTCGTTACTTCTGGGATATTGCCCCAGCAAATTTACCAATTATTTAAGCACATACTGAAGAAAAAAGGTGGAAATGGAAATGCAGAATTTCAAGCGAAAAATGGAATTTGGCAGCCACACAAGTGGGAACAGTGCTCATGCAAAAGATGATGGACCTATGGTAAACCATAACAAGATTTTCGAGTCCGGATTTTTTCGTGTTCAACCTTTAATAGGACATCAAATCTATTCTAAAAAATGAGTAAGTAGTATTTTTGGTTTTGTTCTGAATCCGGTAAAGTGACTTTTTCTTTTCTTGTAAGCGACACCGTCTTCAACCAGAGGTTGCACAGACTGAACACTTTACCACAGACAAACAGACGTAACGCTTTTTCCTCAATCGTCGTACACGCATTCCACGTTCAATTTAAATATTATTAGTTTCGCGAATTCCCCACCAGAGCGCTAGTATCATTCTATCGAACATGTATTTAACATTGTTTTAGATTTGGCAAACCAGCTTTGTGAGCGTTATCTAATGAGTTACATCTGTTTGTCAACAGGCAACTTCCAGTAAAGCAGTAAAGCAATCTTCTTTTTACAAAAAGTTCCGGCTGTAACGGATATCGAACCGTCACTTCGTGGCACACACAATACGCCTTAATGGTCGAGGATTGCTCCCACTAATTCCACGACTACACAGCCTTCCAATTTTGGCGTTTTTATGTTCTCTGTGTATAAGTTGGAATTTTGGCGTTTGTACAATACTTTGGGATTAGCTAGGGTTTTTGATTTAATTTCCGTCCTACTAAGCACAACCCGCGCTTTACCTCTCTTTTCTGAACGAGTTTAAACAAAAAATGGAACATTTCTGTCAAAGATGACTTCTAAATGCATTCTCCTTTCCATACGTACCGTTGGATTTGATAAAGAGTCACAAATTGTTGAGATATTGTTTAAAATCTAACACTGCTTCTTGATTCTAAATTCGTTCTACGAGTTTCAATTCCGTCCTATCGCATTGAAACCCCATTAGATTTTCTTCGTCCTACGGATAAACGTAGAAAAAGAGGATTCACTAGGAGCGCTTCTTTTGTTTTGAGAACAATGAGTGTAAATATTCATACAATGCGTTCTAATAGGATTTATGTTGTAGCTAATGAACTAACGCATCGGAACAAACCATTTATTGATTTGTGCATGGTGAAATCATTGATATTATTGATCTTTTCTGATCGATAGAACGGAAATGGGCGATTACGACGAAGTAGTGCTCTACCCTATTGCACTTTTGTTGAACCTTGGTGAAATTTTAGTGATTATTTCGACATTTAAAGGCCATTTTTGTAGGCTTTTTTTTTGGGTGGTAATTTCGGTCATACTCTTCAATATCAATATTGGTGGGTTGCTAGTGTATGGAAATTCTTAATGTGGGTCCCATTCATCGGAAGGTTGAGTTTGTTGGTGGTTTGAGAACCGCTGCACTGAAGTGTTTGGAACCCTAAACTAAGAAACAACAAGAACTTTTTTGAAGATCTCTGTTTTGGACAAATTTTCGTAGCTTCGACTTAACCCTTTCGAGCTACGCTCTATGATTGGTTGCATGAAATCAAAAGTAATAGATTGCTACATACTTTTTTCAGAAAAGTTGTAGTTTTTTTTTTTTTTCATCTGTACTAGAAAAATATGAAAGCACCAGTTTATAGTCAAACTCAAAGGCCTAGATCTTTAAAGACTATTCTACGTGAAGCAGTGTTGTGAAATTCGGATTTTTTTTTTCATTTTGGGAGTATTTCCCAAGCAAGAAGTGACCGCAATGGGCCAGCACGTGTCCAGAACGGATTTCGAATGGTGTTATGATGTTTTTCGGTTATGATCCGCGGTTCAAGTTTGTGGTTGGTGCCATGGTGTTTACGCAGTTTGCGATGTTGTTCATAATGAAGGACCAATCGTGAAAGATGATTTTCCTGGTGGCATATTTCTTTGGAGGGGTGACTAATCATTCCAAAGAGCTCGCCTGCCACGAGATTGCTCACAATCTGGTTTTGGACATGCAAGGCCGATGTCAAGCCGGCTGTTTGGATTTTTCTGCAACCTCCCGATCGGAGAAGCGGATGCATCCAACGAAACTTTTAAGCGCCAAAGAATCATTACCAACATAGAAGAAAATTCGGTAAGATCCTTCAATTGCATTATTTTATGATTCTTCAGTATTGTACAAATATTTACACATTACACACAACTACACATAGTAACTCGGAGCGATTGGTACGGTATGTCCACGTATCCTTCCACCCCTGTAGATTCAAGAAATGTTCCCATTAATTTCCAAGAATCATCTTTGCGGCAAATACAACGCAGTAGGCCTGGCCGTATTGATGTTTATATCATATCTCAGATATGCTGTAAACATCAATTAGACAAGAAAAATGATTAGACCTCATCTAACCTAATCATTTTCCAGGATGCTTTCTCGTACTGGCTGCGTTTGTATTGGATTATATTAGATTAGATTAGACAACACTACGCGATAAATAAGCTATAACGTTCGCCATTACAATCAGTTCAATGGCGATCTAACGATAAAAATCAGTGAAACATCTGCAAGTCAATACAGGAGTGCATAAAATGCCCAATTCCGTGGCTTCCAAATATTCATATTAAATCTTCCGTTGCTCCAATCGCAGACCATAACAGTAAAAGTGAGTTGAAGGCTCCGGCGAAATTATCTGTTGCGGATGCCAAAAATGTTGTGTGTCAACAATCAAATTTTGACACATCCTCACTGTGTAGGCGCAGAAATAATGCAGTGATGCCAGTTACTTTAGAGATCAAAAAATGATATGTACCATGTCAATGAATGAGCCATGGTGTGCCCTACTGTATTTTTGACACACTGTGCTGAGTGACCTACCCCTTGATAAATATAATAAAATGTAGAAATATTATGGAAATAAAGGGTGTCCACGATGAAATTGCCACACTATGAAATTGCTCTAACTTTTAAAGTCCTGTGATCAAAACTCGCGGAAATGGAGTCGAAAGAACAGCTCGTGCGTGATAAAATCTTGCGCATTCATCACGAGAACAAGGATCTCTCGCATCGTTCCATCGCTAAAACGTTGGGAATCGCAAATTCCACGGTGTCGCGAGTGATTAAGCGGTTCGAGGAACGGTTGACCACCGATCGGAAGCCCAGAAGTGAAGGAAAAAGTATTCCGTACAACACCAAAAATCACAACCGCGTAGTTGGGGCCTTCAACCGAAATCCGAACGCCTCCGTTAGGGATGTGGCTAAGAAGCTGCACCTAAGCCGAAGTTTTGTCCAGAAGGCCAAAACTAAGGCTGGGCTTCGAACGTTCAAGGTACAAAAGGCCCCTAATCGCGACGAGAAGCAGAACAAGTCCGCCAAAAATATTATGGCCTTATGGAAATAGATTTCTTACGAAGATTACATCCTCTATACGAAAAGAAGTGAGACTTATACTGCACGAGGTTTACTGCGTGCAACGATCGGTGTTCACATTTTTCTTCCCACAGGGAAATAATTTATTCCAACAACGTACTGGTAAATCAAATTCATAATACAAGCGCAACCAGTCTACGATCTGTATATTATTGAAATATACGTGTTTTCAATAAACTGATTTAATTAAGAAAATAACAAATATGCGCATTACAAAAGTCAACAGGAATTTGAAGGATAAACTTTTTTGTTACCCCCATAAAAACATTGCACATACCTTTCAGCATCTCTCGGAGCTCCTCGATGGCTTTGGCTTTGATTTCCGGTGTCTCGCGGAGCTCATTTGTGGCAACCTCCTTCCCGAACGGAGTAAGATCTTCCAGCTCGAACCGCAGGGTGTAGTCCCCCAGCTGGACCGAGGGTAACTCGTCCACCTCCGACAGCATCGTTGGGACCCCTGGATGGGAAGGAAAAGAAAAAGATACTTGTTAAACAATACCAAGAAATGTAGGTCGAAAAACTCGATTTGACAGAAAGAACTACTTACGCATTTTGCTTTAGTCGGCTTTGCCGTACAGGCTATTTATTTTGCAGAATAGATAAAACAAACAAGGTAAATTCTCAATGACCGGTAAAAGTTTGAGTTTGAAATTGAGTGCTGCCGCATCGAGCCTTCATTCACCGATCAACTGACTAACGTACAATGAACAACGATCGCCATACGCATTGCTGTATTATACGGGCATTACTTTGAAAGATTCATACGCTTAGTAGCATTGGTCGAACCGTATAATTAAATCACTATTGGCGATTATAGCAAGCAAGAAAACATGTCGATTAATTTCCGCTATCCAAGCAATCGCTTGCTGTTCGCGGAGTTTCAAGCTCATATGGGCGGCAGGTAGGGGTGCCTAGACTAACGATTAGATACTATCGAGTGGTGTGTTTTTCCCACATTATGATCCGATTGTTCTTGGCCACGTGAGTATAAGAAGGCTGTGAAAAAATGTTTTATTAAAATACACACAGAATTGGTTTGGTGAATTGTGACGTTGACTGTATTAAGCTTGTGGGATCTTTTCGTACAAATACTAATTTGTTCGTAGAAAATCAAGCAAGTGAACCCCACGGCATTCGTATGCGACCGTCAGCGAACAATTCGAACGGCTGATGAGTGCCGATTTTCAACTAATTGGGAAAAGTTCCAACCCAGTTAGGAAAATTCCACATCCGATGGAACGCTTCGATTCTATTAGTGTGCCTCACATCAACGGCTTCTGTCTATCTTAAATTAATACCTTTTATTTTTGACAAACAACAGTCAAATCTGGGGGGGACAGAAAAAAATCAGCACTTCTGTATTTTTTTTCAGCATGGGATCTAATTGCATGCTTCTCAAATTAAAATACGTAAAAATTCAGTAGCTTGTTAAATTTTTCCAATTTTGAGATGTGTTAAAAATTTGAAAATTTGGGACTGTTACAAATATAGGACATCTCTAAATTTAAAAAAAAAATCGTTTCAACATCAAGATTTCAAATGTTTTCTGAATCTCAGGGTTTTAAAATATTCTGACAGGCTGACCATGAACTCTTCATATTTTTTTTTAAATTTAAATCTCTATGCGCAAAATAATTGGTATGAACATCAAATGTAATAGTGGATTTGATGCTACTCCAGCGTAGTGGTTAGCATCCATACCTGTAAAGCCAAAGTCACTAGATCAAATATCACACCCCCGGACAAGTCACGAATGACCCAAAAGTGTTAAAGTGACTATATAAAAAAATAGTGGATTTCTTAACAAACGTGATGGACTGTATCCTACAAGCAAGTTTTTCGAGAATGAATAAAGGGTGATACGGTCAAAATTTGGTCAATATCAACTTGACGTATTTCTTTCAATTTTGCATTTAAAAAACCTGAACACCCCTCATTTTGAAGGTGTGTGTGTGTAGAATGTTGCTCCTATTTTGATTTTGGAATTCACTCTTCAGTTGTCAAAATGCCGTCCAAGCAAGAAGAGCAGCGTATCAAAATTTTGCTCGCGCATCGCGAAAATCCGAGCTACCCGCACGCAAAGTTGGCAAAATCGCTAAAAGTTGCCAAATCAACCGTTACAAATGTAATTAAAGTGTTTGGGGAACGTTTGTCGACAGCCAGGAAGTCTGGATCGGGGAGAAATCGAAAACCGGAAGCCGCTGAGACGACAGAGAGAGTTGCCGGTAGTTTCAAGCGAAACCCTAACCTCTCTCTCCGAGATGCCGCAAATAAGCTGGGTGTATCGTCTACAACCGTGCATCGAGCCAAAAAACGAGCCGGACTATCGACTTACAAGAAGGTAGTGACTCCAAATCGCGATGATAAACAAAATACGACGGCCAAAGCGCGATCCCGGAGGCTGTACACGACGATGCTGACGAAGTTTGACTGCGTGGTAATGGACGACGAAACCTACGTCAAAGCCGACTACAAGCAGCTTCCGGGACAGGAGTTTTATACGGCAAAAGGAAGGGGAAAGGTAGCAGATGTTTTCAAGCACATGAAACTGTCAAAGTTCGCAAAGAAATATCTGGTTTGGCAAGCCATCTGTACCTGTGGCTTGAAAAGCAGCATTTTCATAGCTTCCGGGACTGTCAACCAAGAAATTTACGTGAAAGAGTGTTTGAATAAACGTCTGCTGCCTTTCCTGAAGAAACACGGTTGTTCCGTACTGTTTTGGCCGGATTTGGCATCTTGCCATTACGGTAAAAAGGCCATGGAGTGGTACGCCGCCAACAACGTGCAGGTGGTTCCCAAGGACAAGAACCCTCCCAACACGCCAGAGCTCCGCCCAATTGAGAAATACTGGGCTATTGTCAAGCGGAACCTAAAGAAGACCAAAAAAACTGCTAAGGGCGAGCAGCAGTTCAAGGCAAACTGGCTTTCTGCGGCGAAGAAGGTGGACAAGGTGGCTGTACAAAATCTGATGGCAGGGGTCAAGCGTAAGGCCCGGCAATTCGGATTTGGAAAAGCGGAAGCCTAACTGAATATTTTTCCTGAATTTTATACTAATTGAACTTGAAAAAGAAATTTAATTTGATTTTTTAAATAAACGATTTCACCGATTTACACGCGTTTTCCCTTGACCAAATTTTGACCGTATCACCCTTTATTGTTACTTACGACACCAAAACTGAATGTGTGTTCAAGGTTGTCATGAAAGGACTGCCCAGCGGTGAATCCCCGGATCAGATCAAAGATGAACTGGCAAAATTATAGTTGTGCCACTCCAAGCAATCAAAATGAAAATGAAATCCCGTCCTGGCAATTCGCGCAACGGGATTTTTAATGATTTTTATTTAGTTCACTTCAAGTCTAGTGAACTCAACAACCTTAAGGCCTTAGAAAAAGCTAGCCTTATGCTCCATATTCGAGTGAAGTGGGAACACTTCAGGAAGACTGGAGGAAATTTCCAAAATCTCACCCAGTGCCGTAAGTGGCAGGGATGGGGTCACGGAACTAAAAATTGCTACAAGCCAGCTAAATGCATGAATTGCAGGGCTTTTTTTTATTAATTATACTTTATTTGTACAGGCTCAATCGAATAAACTTTACAGAGCCGAGTTATCATTTTCGTTATACATTATTGATGTCTTAGCTGGAAGGGAAAGGAGCTGGACCGGATACTCGCGGTTGTCTCGAGGTTAGTGGAGATTTACAATTTTTTTGGATGGGAAAAGGGAGAGGGAGGTTTGAAATGTGATTTACGATACAAATATTTAATTAATCCTAAAACATGAACTAATTTCTATTCATATTGAAAACAAATATAAAAAAACCCCACACGTACAAAATACAAACTAAACACAAGGTTAATCAAACTTACAATCTAATGTTAATATTCTTAAAGTAAACATATCTGAGTTTCATAAACTCCAGATCGCGTCTAGCCAAAGTATCCCGAACTGGAACATTAGGTTGTCTACATCGAGCCCGAAGGGAATCGCACAGCTCAGATCTGACTCCACGATGCTCAGCACAATACCAAATAATATGATCGGCGTCTTGGTAACCTTGTCCACATTCACAGAGATTGCTGTCCCCCAGCCCAACACGGAACAAGTGAGCGTTTAACGAATAGTGATTGGACATGAGGCGAGGCATCATACGAATGAAGTCTCGACCCACATCCAACCCCTTGAACCAAGGACTCTTCGACACCTTAGGGATGATCGAATATAGCCATCGTCCCAAACTCCCTTCACTCCACTTATTCTGCCAGCTGACGAGTGACTGTTGACGATAAATGAAGAAAAATTCATCGTAGGCGATTTGTCGATCGTAAATATCGCCTTCCATAGCGCCCACCTTAGCAAGTGAGTCAGCCATCTCATTGCCCGGAATCGAGCAATGAGATGGGACCCATGCAAAGGTGATGACAAAAGATCTTAAAGATAAAGCACTTAAAAGCTCTAGTATTTTCATGAGAAAATACGAGGAGTGCTTTACCGGCCTCATAGAGTAATTGCAGGGCTGTTACAAGATTTTTTAAATTTAATCCGCGAAATTCGCGATTTCTCAAAAGAAATCCGCGACTTCAAATACTAATCCGCGACAAAAAACTGTTTCCAAATCGTCCCGGACATCAGTTAATTTGTTCTACTAGATCAACCAGGACTTCAATAATGTCTGTAGTATCGAAAAATGTCCAATCAGATTCAAAGTGTCTATGCTATGTGGATCATGCGTGATCTATTTCCGAGAAATCCAGGTGTTGTAGGTTCTTCAAATCGTCCTGGAGTTCAGATAATTTGATCTTCTAGATCAACCGAGATTGGGACAATGTCTTTAGTATCGAAATATTTCTAGACAGATGCACAGTGTCTATGTGGATGATGCATGAACTATTGCCATGTATACCAGATGTTTTAAGTTCTCCAAATCGTTCTGGAGTTCAGATGATTTATTCTACTAGATCAACCATGACTGGAATAAAGTCTGTGGTATCGGAATATGTCCAAAAAGATTCATAGTGTATATATGGATAATGTATGATTTATTTTCACGTATACCAGATGATTTAGGTTCTCCAAATCGTCCTGCAGTTCAGATGATTTGTTTTACTAGATCAACAAAGACTGAGATAATATCTCTAGTATCGAAATATCGATTTGTAAATCTTAGAACATTTGGCATACACAGAAATAGGTTGGCATGATCCACATAGACACTGCAATTTTTTTTTTGAGCATATTTCGATACTATAGATTTTGAATTAATGATCTAGTAGAAAAGTAATCTGATCTCCAGAATGATTTCAGAATCTATAACATCTTGTATACGAAGCAATAGAATGGGCACGATCCACATAGACACTTTGAATCTGTTTGGACATATTTCGATACTACAGACATTATTGCAGTCTTGGTTGATATAGTAGAACAAATGAACTGAACTCCAGGACGATTTGGAGAACCTCGAATATCCGGTATACATGGCAATTACTCGCATATATACGATTCGTTTATGATGTGACAACGAAAAATGCTATGTTCATATTGGACCTCCTCGGGGCCTCCCTTAGCTCAGTCGGTAAA